CACAGTTAGCCTCAGGACTTTTCTTAGTCTGGCATAGCAACTGTATCTTAGCTGGTATAAAAATGCCGTCCCTCTCATTACGCCACATGTATTTCGTCATCGGCAGATCCTTAATTAATTTTTACACGATCAGACGCTACGAAATTGAACGGCGCCATGACACTCGCGACGCTGGTGCTGCCACCGTCTGAAAAAGTTGTTCGCTATTTTGCATTTTTATTTTGCAGGTAATATGACGCGAGGGCTAATCAGCAAAAGGGAAATTATATTTTATATCTAAATGGCTATTACGCGAACGATATTCATTTTAGGGCAAATTTTATGCCATATTATAACTGAAAGCTATATGTTCGTTTATCAGATTATTAGCCACCGCTTTTGCTTTAAATGAATCAAATAAGAATCGGCCTCGGTCTGTAGCTCCTTGGCTTGGAAAGTGGTTGTTGCGCACTTCTCAGATCGTGGCGCTTGAGTGCGCCACGCGTCGTTGTAATCCAAACTGTAGTGTAGTTTTAAAAGCATTAAAAAAATATTTCTTTAATGGGTGATTGAAGCATGCAACTTTTTATGTACGGCAATTATAACCTAAATTAGCTTGAAAATGTAGACGCCTAGAATCGGTACGAGGCTACTTTCTTTAAGCACCGTTTTAAAACGAGTAGCAGACTTTGTTCTCAATAGTAGTAAAATATGTTAAACTAGAGGCTATTGCATCAAACACGCAGCAATATACAGTGTAATCGTCTGGGTATTCTGGACGATGAAATGCACGGCAAAGCGTTGATTCAAGGAATGCCAGTAGCATGAAATGATGGCGTTCATCGATGGAAGACGATGTGTTCTTGTCATAGAGTTTATAGCTTCGTTTGGTTCTAGGAAAAATACCCCCCGGACAATGCAGCCCGCCCGACAATTTACCCCCGGACAATTTAGCGCCCGGACAATTACCCGCCATGCCATTTACCCGCATGCCATTTTACCCCCGCGGACAATTACCCCGCGGACATTTACCCCCGGACAGTTACCCCCATGGCCATTTCCCGCCGGACCTTTACCCCCGCGGACAAATTACCGGCCGCCGGACATTTACGGCGCCCGGACAGATTACACCCGCGGACCATTTACCCCCCGGACAATTACCCGCCCCGGACATTTACGCCC